GACCAGAAGTGGTGCATATCCAATTCCTCCCCACAATCCGAGCAGCATTATCCAGTTGTAATCACCACATTTGTAAAAGAATTCTCTTTGGATTTGCCACGGGGCTCACCAAACAATGTCATTGCTTTGCAGATTTTGAAAGGCATTAATCCACATATCTTTCTTAATTTCTTTCGGCCATTCTTGCTCCAGAAATTCTTTTAATGGTGAATAATCCGTATTAAAGCGCCGGTATGAAACCTTTTTTTGTCCTCCAGAAATGGCTACGGATCCAAACATATAACAACTGGGTACACCCTGAGAATCTTCCACCTCCTAGCTTTCTACAAGCATTTAATGATCTGAAAATCTCTGCTAGAATTGCAGAAGCGGGATTAATCTTTTTTGGTAGTTGCTCAAACAAATCTACTACTGCAGCTTCCACATATCCCAATACTTTTGGGAAAATGACCATACCATACATACCCAGAGTAAATAGATCGAATCGTACTTTAGTGTCTGGATGAATCTGAATAAGTTCTTTAATGTTGGTCCAAGCAATGCCTTCGCTTTTGCCTTTTTGTTTTATACGGGATGCCACCCATTCTTCTCGTACCCCGGCAATCTTTGCTAATTTAACTCGAAAGGGTTGAGTTTTAATTGACTTTGAATAAATTCGATTCTCCAAAGCCCTTTCTATATGTAGCAAAGTTGTGTACTCTTCAATAGTAGGGACCAAGTCCTCCTTATTGAGAGTGAAGCAATTGTACCCTGGATTCCAGAATTGAATTAGGGCTCGAAGTAAGTCATCATCAACTTCGACATAGAGCAAATATGGGATGTCTCCGTAAGTCTGATAAAACTGCAACTTTTTGTTTGAGTCCCAACTTTCCCAAATGCTTCGTAAATCTTGCATGTCATTTCTTTTTAGCGAAACTGGAGCATAACTGGCCAAGTCTGATACATAATCATCTTGCAAACTGTTTCCTCCTTGTCTTTGTAAGTCCTCAGCCCACTGTCTTACTTCTGAGTTTAGAATTATTTGATTTGAACACTTTTTATCCATGGATGAAGGCTTTCCAATGAGACAATTAACACGAGGATCAATGCCTTTTATCCTGTATGATGCTATGCAAACAAAAAAAATAAAAAACACACACAAAAAGAAATGAATTGGTTTACATAATAAAGAAATTTAATAATAATATCTACCTAAATATCTTTATTTAAACATGCTTTTTCATAATTTAAATAATTTAAATTTACATGTAATTTAATCAGTAAGAAAATAAATAAATAAATTAAAAGGAAAGTTAGAATTCATTTCTCCTGTGTGTACACCTATTTTGGACAAAATTTCGGCATGGCTTCAGATCGGAAGAGTTTCTAGGGTTTATTATATGCAAGGTTTTAGATCTAAGAATAAAGGTACCCGAATTGTCCTTGTTAGTGCCCCCTTGGGTTGCTAACCCTCAATCCTAGTCCATCACAGACTAAAATGGATCAAGTTCAATTTGAGTGGATACATTTCTCTATGCCTGACACGGAGAATAAATTCTCACGAAGACATAGAGCATATGAACCCCGAAAGTTACTTGCTAGGTCTGACACGGAGAATAAATTCTCACGAAGACGTCGCTTTCACTCCCACTTAAAAGGGACAAACTCAGTTATAGAGCTTTATGTTATGTAATGCAAGTATTGTGTGTGAGGAGAAATGTTCAAACCTCTGACAGAAAAAATAAATAATGAAATAAAATACTTGCAAATAAAATAAAATATTAATAAGAAAATATATAAATACTATGAAAATAATAAGTATATAAAAAAAATTTGAAAAGAAAGAATTATAAATAAAATATATAAATTTTTAATTTATAATTAATAGAGACAATTTATAATTGATTTTAAAAGTTTGACCAGGTCCCCAGCGGAGTCGCCAAACTGTCGTAACCGGTTTTCGTCCGGGCACGAAATATTTATTTAGCGGGAAAATTGATGTGAATAAATGGTTTTGAAAATAATTTGGGAGTCGCCATCGGCCTTTTGAGTCAGGTAGGTCGAATACCTAAAAAATTATCTTTTAAAAGAGTTTTTAAGAAAACATCAGTTAAAAGATAAACTGATCTGCGTTTTAACCAAAAATTCGTTCTTTTTAATAGTAAAAAGGGATTCATGGTCAGTTACGTTTAGGGAAGGATTAGCACCCCTACAACGCCCAAAATTGGTACTTTTTAATTATAAATTGTCTCTTTTATTAAAAATTTAAAAATTTAAAATATATTTAATTTATAATCCTATTATTTCAAAATTATAAAAAATATTTATTTATTTAAAAATATCATAAAATGACTTCTAGGTGCCTTAAGACAGCTCTTTTCTTTGATATTAATAAATATTAATTTAAATAAAATTAAATAATAATTTTTTATTAATATTTAATTTTAAAATACCAGAATAGGACATCCAGTTGTATTAAGACTGCCCTTTTCTTCGATATTAAATATTAAAATAATTTATTTAAAAAATATAAATTATTATTTATTATATATATATATTTATGACTACATAATAATAATAAAAATATTTAAATATATAAACTAGTAAAATTAAAATAATAAAAATACAATTAGAACTATATATTTAAAAGCAGTAAAATAAATGAAAATATTTAAAATTAGTGACTAAATTATAGTAAAATTAAAATTAAATACCTAATTCATAATTAATCAAAATTATAGGGATTAAACATGCTATTTCCTTATTTATTAATTTAGTGACTAAAATAAAATTATATAAAATTCGGATATTAGATTAAAATAAATTAAAACATACTATTCAGATTAAAAAAATTAATTATTAAAATTAAAGGACTAAATCTGTCATTTACCCTAAATATATTATTTTAATACAAAGGACTAAAATAAATAAAAATAAATTTAAAGAACCGAATTAAAAGGATTATAAATTGATTTAGTGACTAAAATGTAAAGTTTACAAATTAGGATGACTACGGAAAGGATTTAACTTTTATTTAATTACACAAATAGCCCTCCCCGAAACGGTGTCGTTCAGGAAGGGCTATTTAAAGCCAAAATCGGCTGGCCCAAAGGGCCAGCTTCATTTCTCATCTCTTCCCTCTCTCTCTTCTCTGAGAGAGAAAAAAATTCTCTCGCTTCTCTCTAAAACAGAGAGAAGCTCTCCGGCCGGCAGCCGCTCGCCGGCGTTGATCCCGCCGCCGGCCACCATCTTCGGTGGCCGGAATAATTTTTTTTTACATTAAAACGTAGATCGGACCGTCCTAATGACGGTTCCGATGGTATTTTCTTTTAAACGGCTCCCGATCGGAGCAAATCTAAAAAAAATACCTTCGGTTTTCGAAGGTTTTTGGTGACGTCTAGAGGCCGGTGGTGACTCCGATCAAGGCGGTGGCTTTCACGGTAAGTCTTTCTTCTTCCTTTCCTTGCTGTGTTGTGGGGTTTTCTTTTTTTTTTGTTCTCCGTTCTTCTTTTTTTTCTGTTGGCTACCTCTCTCCTTTTTTCTTTGCAGGTTGGGTGATGGCTTTATAGCCATCACCGGCGCTTATCTCGGACCGGTCCGAAAGGTGGAGTTCGGTGAGTCACCGAGCTATGTGGTGACTCACCCCATAGAGCTTGCGACGTGGGCGGCGGGTGTTGAAGCAGCAAAGCTTCTGGATTCTTCAGCGAGGCGGTGGCGTCGTGGCTGAAGTGGATTCGAGCATCTGGCAGCTGACCGTCGACGTGGGGCGGCTGGAGGCAGAGGCGGCTGCAGCGCTAGGGTTAGAAACCCTAGCTGAAACCCTAAATGTTTAGGGTTTCAGTTTGGTTTGGGCCGGTTGATTGGGCCTTTGATTTTTGGGCTTGTATTTTTTATTATATATATATATATATATATATATATATAATATATATATATAATAATATTTATAATAATAATATTATAATAATAATAAATAAATCAAAATGGGTAAAAAAAATTAGTATCTTCAGCTAGGTGATGAAGATCTTGATACTGTGGACTTTCAAGTTCAAAGTGATGCTATGGAGTTTCAAGTTCAAAGTGGTGATGGCGGTGGTAGTTCAACTAATGAAGAAACTTTTCCTAATATTTTGGAATTTGAGGGAATCAATTTCAATGAATATTATGATGATTGATATTTGTATCAATTATGTACTTTTTTTATTTAGTTGTTGATGAATTTCATTAGATATTGACCTTAAATATTATGTTGTAGTTGATTTGAATTATTTTGTTTCACTTGATATTATGATATTTAGCTTATATATACTATGACTCGTGCTATTTTTATACCTTTTAATATTGTGAACTTAAAAAGAGTGTTATATATATATATATTAATATTGTTTGAATATTATGTAAAATTTTTTTAAAAAAATATTATTTTATATAAACTGGTTCAACCACTGTTAAATCCGATTGAACCAGTATCTTCACCTGTTTAAGGTCTGTCTAATTTTAAAAACATTGGAAATTATAGTTATCAATTTGTTCACACGGTATCACTTTTATTTATATGTTTTAATTGTGTATTCTTTGAAAATACACCTAATTTCTATTAATTTTGCTGGTTGAAGAATAAACTGATAGAAGAGTCAAACAACAGAACGTGGGAACTACACAACTGCAGCTGCATGGATGACAACCTATCACGCGCCAAGGCGGTGGTCTGGTCAACTCGCATCCGTTGTTCCCCATATGATCGTACTCCCATGAACTTACTTCACTGCCCTTGATGATATTATGAATATTTGGGCTAACCAGGGACGTAAGTGTAAACTACGATATAGTTTGTTCAGTTTATTATAGAATAGCCTCCCTTCAACAATTCGATCCCAGGTACTTTAAAATTTTTAAATCATGTAACATGTGGATTCATCCACATTAGGTCAGCAGTGAGAAAACCCCATCCAGCCGTTATAAATACCCATTTTAATCTCCCTTCTCTTCAGAACTTAGCTTTGAACCTTTGTTTAAGTTTTGAAGTTTCTTCCTTCTACAGAAGAAAAAGCAGTGTTTATTTTTGGCTGTTGATCAGCTGATAATGGGGGGCTCTTCGCCATGTGCGTCATGTAAACTTCTGAGGCGTCGATGTGCTAAGGACTGCATCTTTGCTCCTTACTTCCCTTCCGATGAACCCCACAAGTTCGCTATTGTTCATAAGGTCTTTGGTGCAAGCAATGTTAGCAAAATGTTGCAGGTTCCTTTCCCCTTTTTTTTTTCCTTGCTTAAGCTATGTATTTAATCATCCACCTATTTTCGGTTGAACCGAGGGATAGGTGGGGCATTCGTCCCTCCCATAAAATTTTATTCTTTTTATATATATTTTAGATTTTTTTTATTTTATATTAAAAATATATTTTTGCTCTCAAAATTTTATAAGTACCAACCTTTAAAATTTAATAAGTTCAAAACATAAAATCTTGTGTCCATCTCTACTTACGTTAGATATATTTTTGGTCATCCACTGTGAAAAGATAAACAAATTGTTGATATGATGATTTTTTTCAAAGAAAGTGTCAATATCTTATAGTGATACAGTAGTATCACTGTTAATTTTTAAATGTCGGGTTACCAAAATAGAACTGTAACATAACATTAAATATGATTTTGAAAAAAAATAGTTGGGTGACCAAAACGGAATCTGGGAATAAGTGGGTGACTAAAAACATAGTTTACAACTTTTTCTTTGCATACATTTAAAGTAAACGCGTTGTTTATTTGAAACGTATGGTTGAATAATGCAAGAATGCTTTGTTTGAATTAATGTATGCTTTTATCTTAAATCTTGTAGGAGCTTCCGATTCTGCAGAGAGCAGATGCAGTGAGTAGCTTAGTTTATGAAGCAAATGCAAGAGTGAGGGACCCTGTGTACGGATGCGTAGGGGCAATATCCTACCTTAAAAATCAAATATCACAGTTGCAGATGCAGCTGGCGGTGGCTCAGACCGAGATACTTTGCATTCAGATGCAGCAGCAGGAATCGGCGTTACCGACTCAGATACATCAAGACGACTGCAAACCCTTCCTTTTAGCCAATAATAATAACTTAGATAGCATCTCCCAATACCTCAACTTCGCTTCTTCTAGCAATGTAATACAAGACCCAGCAGATCTCAAAAGAGAGTCTTTTTGGACTTAAAATAACGTTTAACTATTATTAGCTCCTTTTTCCTTTGTCAAATTACACCATTTCCCCCTCTTATATGTTATTTTTTTGGTGGGATATATATGTTTTTCTGTATTACGAGAAAAATCATCGACTATGGTAGTTTTGTGGTATCATTAGAAATGGAGGTGGAAGATTATGTTAATGGGTTTTGAATCTGATCATTTAGGGTGCTAATAAGGATCTTAAACAAGGCTTTAAATTAAAGTAAAAAAAACCCCTCATTAATAAGTAAATATATATTCTTAAGTTCGGAAAACGGAAGATTAAGAGGTCAAACTCTGCATGTGAGGTACCAAGAAAATTAGGGTTTGAATTTTTTAAAGCTCCTCTTCCTAGAAAAAGACGCCACAACTAATAACAGATTATATTTGATTTTTGTTAAGTTAATCGTGTTCAAGTCAACTCGAGTGATAAAATTGTTGAATCAATTCTAAATTTAGATCATTTAAATATAAGATTTATATTCTTTCAAACCATATCATATCATATTTTAATTATTTTAGAGTGCATCATTTTAAATTTGAATCTTATTAAATTTATATTGATTAGGTTATATTTTAAGTTGAAATTAATCTCAATTTATAGATTGATATTGTTTCTCACGTAAAACTTAGTTGAACCCTATGTAGGATTTCATAATTCTCTTTGTGGTTCATCTCTAATAATATCAGTTCAAAATAATTTCAATCATTTGATAATGAACGCTCAAACACCATATAAACTCCGTGCTTTATGAAGTCAAAATTTTGAAAGTGATTCAATTAACTTTAATTGCCTTTTTGAAATTGATAAAATGATGATCCATAATCGATATGGAAAATTGGATATTCGATTTTTTTTCTTTGGAGAGTGTACGAAGTATGCCAAAGCAACTCAATATTCATTTTCTTCAAATTGAATCACTCCATGGTTCTAAAACATGAGTCATGACGGCCCAACAACAGTCATTGGTTGCCGGTAAATTTGACCCAACAGGTTAGATTACTAAAAAAAATTAGTCCACTAGGTCATCTCTAAAATTAATTTGAGATATACACAAATGTTAAAATGTAGGAGAAACTCATCCCACTCACATAACTAGTTTGCTTAAATAATATTTTTAATCAAACTCGTCACATCACGTAATGAATTTTAATAAAATATAATTTTTTATTATTTTATCATGTAAGGATGAATTTTTTTAATAAAAGTATATTTTATTAATTTCATATTCAACTATATTAATCTTCAACAGATGGGTGATGATACATCCATATGGCAGTGAAGTTGAAATTGTTGCTCCCTTTGTGACCATATATACAATTGTATTAAATATCAGTTTAGCAATGTTTGGAGCCGTTTTGGATTTGGATTTATACTTTGCTATCCACCAATAATCGTTGTCTCAAAGCGTTGAATGTTTTCCCCCACTAGGCCGAATATACCATGTGAGCATTTTGTGAAACACTCTCGACTCTACATCTAGGTGAATTGGGCTATTTCTAGAACCCATTGTATTGTAGTATCTAAATTATTTTCATCTGAATCCCCTTTATTCTCGACACCTAGACCCTCCGTAATAGTTTCTTGAGATATATATATTTCCTTCCTAATGACATGGGTATTAATTCCTATTATATTAGTCTTGTTAGGCTCATGCTGTAAAGAAGCATTGTTGTAGAAGACTCTAACTAGGTTGGGGTAATATTTTGGTTCTACACCAAGGAATTCAAGGCAACCCCAAGATGTAAATGTGGATTTAAAACTAAATGCATATTTATCATCAAACAAGAAACCCAGGTCAATGACACGTTCGGGACAAATCTTCCTTACTTTAAAACTCGTCTGCCATCTTTGTTTCTCCATATCAGATCTAAAGTTCAGAGTTTCGAAGGACCTGATTTCCTCAGAAGAATCATTTGTTTGAGAAGGAGGTTGTGGTTGAGAAGAACTGGGTTGAGAAGAGCTTTGAGAAAGACCGCGCTTCTGACGCTGACGTTTTGGAGCCATTTTGGGTACGGATGCTATTACAATGGAACACAAACACATTCAAGAAAAAAAACTCCAATATAGAAATCAATCAAACCCATAAAATATTGATAAATTTACCTGAATATCTGATCGTCACTGTTATGATAACGCTAGTATTCGTCGGAGAGGAAGAGTTTAGAAGCCTTTAGGTTTAGGGTTTGTCGATTTGGAGTTTGTATCGATTATAATCTATAAATAATGAAGGGGAAAACACGCGATATTTAAATTAGTATCGACACAAAATTAAAGTGTTGATACATGTTGTAGACCTATTCTCTCAAAAACTGGTATATTTATACCGGTTACATTGAAAATTTACCTATTACATTATACTTATGGGTTTCGATGTTTATGGGATCGATAATTTTTATAAATGTATCGACACTTTATGGTTGCACCCTTTTTGGCATTCACTCTGGACCAAAAGTATTGATACAAAATTAAAAAGTGTCGATACATGTTGTAGACCTATTCTCTCATAAAACCGGTATATTTATATCGGTTACGTTGAAAATTTACCTATTACATTATACTTATGGGTTTCGATATTTTTGGGATCGATACTTTTTATAAATGTATCGACACTTTATGGTTGCACCCTTTTTGGCATTCATTCTGGACCAAAAGTATCGACACAAAATTTAAAAAGTGTCGATACATGTCGTAGACCTATTCTCTCATAAAACCGGTATATTTATACCAGTTACATTGAAAATTTACCTATTACATTATACTTATGGGTTTCGATGTTTCTAGGATCGATAAATTTTACCTATTACATTACACATATGCTGACTTATTTTTTGGAAACTTAACGTTTGGGAATCATACTGGACAAAATGTTGGAAACAAATCGGTGTTTATTAATTTTTCAGTAAAAAGTCTATTTTTACCAACTACATTGTAAATTTACCTTTTACAACAATCTCCATATATCGTACGTATCAACATGACTCTTAATGTGTATAAGAAAATGTACAACAACCTACTGCTAACTTTTCTCATCTCATACATAATTACATTCACATACAAAATTATAAATCTTATAAAAAATTAACCCTACATTTACATCATTGCATCCTTTTGTTATTCTTGTGTCTCATGGCAGCTTTTGTTATCTCCTGTCTTCGTTGATTTTGATTGTGGCTTACGAGATTGTTTAATATTCGCGATCGATCCCACTCTCCAACAACCTATATTCAAATTGTCAGAACGTTAAGTATTGTAAACCACAACATTCAATCTACGACTTTTAACAATTTCACCACAAACGAATTTTATTTCCACTTACAAAATCACCAGTTGCCCCTGTAGAACCGATCGATTCCATCCACATCATCACATACATGCCGTAATCGTATATGTTACAAAATTTGAAAACTACACATGTCAATTATGAATCATGCATAAATTAAGCTTTCTATTTATGATAAAATCTCATACCCATTCAATTTCGTATTCTTCTTATGCTCCACAAATTTGAAATTTTTCAAAGGAACTTTCCTAGAGATCCATAGTATTCAACCCAAATGTGTTTCTTATTATAAAAATCTAATATTTTAATCTGCATTAAAAAAAAGAAGTTACGATCCAAAAAAATTATGCATTATAATTTACATAATGTCATTTCATACATACATACATACATACCAATCTCTTAGCATCATTCACTCTCTGTTTAGCTGCTTCAGATGTAAACATACTATCATATATTGTTGCAACACGATCTACCATATCCAACACCAACAGATACCAATGTGAATTATGATAGTTTATTGTGATCATGATCTGCAACAAATTTCACACCCAATTTGAAAAAATTCAACATTCTATATCCGAAAACATCATTTGTAATTGGTATGGTGTCTTACCTTCTCACAATCGATGAATTTCACATAGTTATCCAATATGGGACCCTAAAAGGTAGCAATACTCTCAAAACTTTCTTTGATGTTGGCATCCAACGCCTGTTTCTACAATTACACAACAAAATTATTAATTTACCGTCTATAACACTACTTTTCAATATTTATTAATTTAACTCACCGCTAAGTGGTATGGAAGGTATCAATCCTCCGGAGTGACTTTTGAGAATTGTAGCATACTGTCCAGGCGAGCAAATCAATAACCTAACAAAATTAATTACACAATCAGAACATATTCAATAAGTTTTAACATTTTCTACTTTCTACTTACCACACCGCCAACCCATTCGTAGGCTTCAACGTTGCAACGTCGTATACACTAGCAAATTGATTTCCCATTGAGATTACATAATATCTGTATGAATCATTAGGATTAATATGTTGTCATGAAATATTTAAATATCACTCACAAAGCAATATATTTCACTTACCTCGATTCTAACTCACTATTCCATAAATAATCACAAATTGCAGATTCGATGTCATCAATTCCGCTTGAAATATCCGCTTTTTCAACATACAATTTTGCATACAAATTTTTGTCACAACAACATGATAAAGACAAATTAAGTTTTCTTTTATTGAACTTACCTTCTGCTTCTTCTTCTGGAGTACAAGACATTCCGAATCCAAATCTTCCGCTATAACACTCTCCGGTGTATAAATGACATCGACATCCTTCCTCCTCATTTCTTCCATCTTTTCTTCTTCCTTCTCCCTCTTTTCTTCTTCATATTTTTTCAGTTCATCGTATTTTTGCTCTACATAACTCTTCATCTCTTTTATTTCACCCTTCAATTGATCTCTTTCATCCAAGTATTGATCAACCACCCCCTTCACCCCCGTAAGTTCACTCCTCAATTCCACAACCTCCTTCACCACTCCATCAAATTTTTCACCCGTCATCATCTTAAGATCACCCCTTAACACCTCAACTTCTTTCACCACTTCACCCCTCAACACCTCTACTTCTTTCACCACTCCATCTATTTTTCCTTCCACTTCCCCCTTATGCCTCTCAAGTGTATCTTCGACTCTCTCAA